GCCTCAAACTCATGGTTATCCTCTGCCTCAGTCTCCCAAGTGCTGGGATTTGCCAGGGATTTAACTCAGTGGCGCCATGCCTGCCTCACAAGTGCAAGGTCCTGAGCTAAATCCCTGGCAGATAAAGTTACTTTCTTTGCAGAAAGATTAGGAAGAAATTTGGTTTCAGTTTGGTTGGTTGGTTTTGGCATTGGGGATTAAAACCCAAGGCCTTCCTCATACAAACTTCCACTGAGCTATACCCCCAACCAGAAACAACCTGTAATAAGACTGGCTCCTTTCCTTGAGCAAAATTCCTGACCCATCTGGGAGTGGTGGTGCACACCTGTAATCCCAGCTATTCCAAGAGCTGCAGCAGGAGGATTCAAAGTTTGAGACCAACCCGGGCAATTTAGCAAGATGCAGTCTCAAATTTAAAAAGGGCTGGGGATATAGCTTAGTGCTCCCTGGGCTCAATCCGCAGTACTGGAGGGAAAAAAATCCCTGAGTCAGGGACTCTGGGGATAGAAAAGGGGACCATGGCAAGCTTTTGAGTGACGCTCCCACTCTAGGACAGTGTACTTGGTGGAAGGGCATGGGGAGACAGAGCAATACACGAGACTGAAGTCTCAGCTTGCTTCCTCCTATGGAACCACCAGCTCACAAGGCAGGGCTGAGGCAAGAGCAGTCAGAGCCTAAGTTATCTCACTATGTCTCACCCTGTTCCACAAGTAGTGATGGAAGAAGGGTGTCCTATTGGCATTGGTGGCACAAGCCTGTAATTCCAGCCCTTTGGGAGGCTGAGGCAGGAGAATCACAAGTTGGTGTCCAGCCTGGGCAACTTAGCAACTCAGTGAGACCCTGTCTCAAAAAAATTCAGGCATGGTGCTGCACACTTGTAATCCCAGCACTCAGGAGGCTCAGGCAAAAGGATCACTAAGAGGGGCCAGGGATTTAGCTCAGTGGTTTTGCTGCCTGCTGCACAAGTGCAAGGACCTGAGTTCGATGGCCCCTACCAAAAGAAACCAATAAAAGTTCTGGGGGTAGAGCTCAGTGCAAATCCCCAGTACCACAAAAAAGAAAAAGAAAAAAGGAATGGAGACGGAAGGTGATGGTTCTAGAGATAGAAAACTGATCTCTAACTATATTTTATGTCTTGAGAGCTTGTGAATTAGGTGTAGTTGCACATGCCTATAATCCCAGCACTCAGGAGGCTGAGACAGGAAGATCACACATTCTACCCAACCCTGGGCAACTCAAGAAGATCCTGTCTAAAAATAAAAAATAAAAAGGGGCTAGGGATGCAGCTCTGTGTGAAGACTGGGGGAAAAAAGTGCCCCATTGATCAGGGGCACTCATCCAGAAATTAGCTTCAGCAACAAGTAGCTCTGAGCAGGATGAGAAACACTAAAAGTCCTGCTCCTCCTGAGAAAAATAGCCCTCTGATTGGCAACTGAAGGACAGGGGGCCTGTGTTACGGGTTACAGCAGTCTGGAATCTCCCTCACTGAGCTGGGATTAGGGAGGGACAGAGTACCTCTCTTTCTTACCAAATTTTCACATCTTTTTTCATTTGTTTGTTTTTTGAGACACTATGTAGCCCAGGATGGCCTCAGACTCATTATGCACCCCAGGCTGCCCTTGAACTCACAGTGATCTTCCTGCCTCAGCCTCCCAAGTGCTGGGATTATAGGTGTGTACCAGCACACCTAGCTTGTTTTGTTTTAAAATAATTTTCACAGCCAGGTGCAGTGGCACATGAGATTTATCCCAATTCTCAGGAGGCTGAGGCAGGAGGACTGCAAATTCAAATCCAGGCTAAGAAACTTAACCAGATTCTGTCTCAAAATAAAAAGCTGGGGGTGTAGCCCAGCACTCCCAGGTTTGATTTCCAGGACTGAAAATAATAATAACAATTTTCACAAGTTTTATAGGAGAATGGGTCAGTGGACCTCCTCATACAGTCATGCTGAAAGTTAATCCTGTCTAAGGATTATGCTATAACAGCAGAGTTGAATTGCTGAGTAGCTCCAGTGGAGACCCTATGACAGTGGTGGTAAACCTATGGCATGCATGCTGCAGCCAGCTGTCTGTATCATTGAAAGCTCTAAAGTTCACCATCGCGGTATACGGCCTGCAAAGCTGAAAAGACTGACTATGAGACCTATGAGAATGTTCACCAACCCCCGACTTAGGTCACTGCTGCCAATGCTGCTACTGCATGAACCTCACTTTGGATAACACGTAGTAAATTATTTGAAAGGCAGTACTACACACTGGCTAAGATCTTGGTCCAAAAACCAAAATCTTTGAGGTACTTTGTGGGCATAGGAAAAAAATTGAAGCTTTTTTTTCTGTACACTCAACAATCAACACAGGAGCCAAGAAATGTGTGGGGATTTCTCCCTACAAGCAATCAATCAAGTCTTTATTGTGCAGCTCTGGGTATCTGCTAATTCAATTCAATTCTGACACGATCTTAGAGGTAGTGTCAGATCCCACAGGTTGAGGGCTCAGTCCCACATTGCCCCTATTTCTGATGCCAATCACGAACCTCAGGTTGATTTACCTGTACTTCTGGACCAGCCAGCTATAAATTGGGGTTCCCGCAACCTTCTTTTTGAGTTCAATTAATTTGCTATAGCAACTCACAGAAACTCAGGGAAACACTTACTGTACCTATTACAAAAGATATCACAAGGGCCACGGGTGAAAAGATGCATAGGGCCACAGAGCTTCCACGCCCTCTCCTAGGGCTCAAATCCTACAGGACCTTTCACATTTTTAGCCATCTGGTAGCGCTCCAAACTGTCTTTTGGGGTTTTTATGGATGCCTCATTATACAGGCATGATTTAATCACTGGCCAATTCTGATCAGATAGATTACTCTTTGGTCCCTCTCCCCTCCTCCAGGTTGGAGGTAGAGCTGAAAAATCCCAACCTTTAATCAAGTCTTGGTGTTTGTGACCAACTCCTATCCAGAACCTACCTAGGGCCTGCCAGCAGAGGTCTATTCATTATTACACAAAAAGACACCACTTTGCAGATTCCAAGGATTTAGAAGTTGTATGCTAGGAAACCAGATTAAATATATATTCTACAATGTCACAGGTACTTTTCTCACTGGATTGTTGTAAGGTTTAAATGTGTGAACGTCTGATACAAAGTACTAAACAAACAATAGCTGTTATCCTCATGCTGAAAACTGCACAGAAAGTAACTATAAGGTAAGGTACGCCGATCTCTTTCCTCAGTCCCCGCCCCCCCCCTCAGAAAACTTAAACTTTGGAAAATGGAAACAAGTACAGACTTCCAATAAATGAGATGTAACTTTTAATATTTGCAATACATAACATTATCTAACACAAAACTCCCTAGAATTTATGCTTAAGCCTGACACTGTAAAGCAGAATTCGCTAGCAAGGAACCCTACAGTACCTTTCAATACCAATGAATGAAAACCTTTAGGAAGGACTAAACCCGAAAGCCCCACTTGAAAAAGCAGCAACTAGCTGTAACTTGTGAGTTTGGGCCTAGAAGTCTCCTTCCGGTTCCAATCGTCTCTATCCATGCCCAGAGGATGATATAAACAGAATCCTTCAAGCTTCCACTTCGACTGTCACTACCGCGAGGGCGCCCGAGTGGGTGCCGTTGGTGCGCCTGGGTCGGGCGGGCCAGGACTCCACCGGGCTCCCCTCGCCGTACCTCGTCGGGGCTGCCAGCTGGTTACCTCGCAATTGAACTCCATCTCGGCGTCCATGGTGACGATCCGCACAGTGAACGTCTTGGGCTGCTTCCTCTTGAGTGAGCTGAAGCTCATGCGGGAAGCGATGGCCCCAGCCATGGTGCGAGGCTTAGTCCCAGGAACCTTTCACCCCGAGGCCTGCGCTCTGGACCTCTTAGCCCCCCTGAAAGAGCCGTACAGACCTCAAGACCACCATGGTGGCCGGCTGGCCGGCCCAAAAGCGATCTGGATTGCGTGGGTCTCCAGCAGCCAGCATGGGCCGCGAGGACCCTACCCCGGGAAAAGAGATTTGGGGGACAGGCCCTGACAGTGGCGCGGAGGGAAAGCGAACTGGAGCAGACGGGGAAGGCGCGGCCCTGCGCTCCGGGACTCGGGCCGAGGACGCCCGGGACGTCCCGGAACGGAGACCCTAGACGGGCTCCAGAGCAAGGGCGCCTCTCAGTGGATGGCAGGGGTCGCGCGGCTGCGCCGAAGCCAGGCGCGCACGCGCGCGCGTGGCTGTCACCGTCCTCCGTCCTCACTCCGCGCGCCCGCAGAAAAGGTCCCCTCCCGGCAGCTCCTGGCAGCCTCCCCGCCCCGCCCTCAGGCCTCCCAGAACTCTACACGCAGCGCATCGTAACATGATCTTTTCCAGAAACGGTGGTTGGCTGAAAACACCAAAAGAGACGGGACTTATTCTGTCCGCCTTCTTTAGGGCTACTCCACCAATTGGAAGTTCCACACTGAAGAGAGGCGCGGGCCTATGCTCGGTGTTGAGTGGCTATAGCGGTAGTCACTCTGAAAGCTTTTGTTTGTAAGGGTACGCCTACCCTAGCAAGACTGGTTGAGGCAGCGGAGTACTGCGCGCCTTTCCCTGGAAACCAAGTAGAATTTGTTCCCTGGACGCCTGATCCAGGGGAATTGCAGTTCAGAGAAAGTACACGCCGAGTGCGGTACCCCAGGGAATCTCATATCGGACACCCGGAAGATATCACTATTTGGCACTCAATCAGTTATTGTCGAACACCGGATAGATATTCCTATTTGGAACGTAATTACACACAGTGACCTCTGTTTCTCAAACTTCTGAAAATACTTGTAGAGGCCTGAGAGGTTGCCAGCACTTTCCCTCCCGATCCTTCTGTTTCTCTTTAGAATTACAAAAGGGGAGGATAGTGATTGTACCTACCTTATGAGGTAAGTGAGGAATTTAGGCGTGTTTAATACATATAAAGTTTAGACCGGGCGTGGTGGCACACAACTGTAATCCTAGCACTGGGGAGACTGAGGCAGAGGTTGGCCGAGAGTTCGAGGTCAGCTTGGCCTACATAGTGAGTTCAAGGCCAGCCTGAACTAAATAGCAAGACCTTGTCTCAAAAAAAAAAAAAAAACCACACACATATATATGTATGTATAATATAAAACTTAGAACGGTGGCTGGCACATACTGTGACTATGAAATTGCTTTATTTGTACATCAAAATGGGTGAGAAAGTTAAAGCATTTTTCATCTTGTATGATTTCTGTTTTCAGACCATAAAGATGTATTATTCATTTTTAAGAAGTCTTCAAGGGTTATTAATGTATGTAGGGGGAATTATACTTTTTTGTATTTTAAAAAAATCATTCAATTCTTTATTGATTTATTGTTGTTTTGAAATGTACTGTTGCTCCGGCTGAGCTCAAACTCCTGGGTGCCCTCAAGCCATCTGTGATGGAACAGACAATCCATGTGTTTTGACTGAACAATAAGCATTCCATAACTGTGAGCCTTCTTACAGACAAGAAACAATCAGCGTGATAAAGCCTCTTGCTATCCCTCAGATAAGAAGAGGCAAACCAGGACTGGAACTGGTCTATTTCGTCAGAGTTTGTTTATCCTCTGTGCTTCCATAGTTAAGCCTTCCAAATTTTTCCTATTGTAGCTTCAAGAAATGTAATTAAAATTCTGGAGAATTCAGCAGACCCTGTTGCTGTGATGATCCAAATAGCATAAATCTTACTCCTCTGCACGTGTTCCTGTGGTGTCAAGAAGCACAAGTCAGGCCCCAGGAATCATTTACTGGCACAAACAACTAGGGAGGCTGCTGTAAGAAAATTTCATCTCCTGCATACTGATAACAAATTCTCCACACCAAAATTGTTTGGGGTACTATGAACTTGGCACCACAGTGCCTTTGTTTTCATCGCTTCAGTTCTTCCCTGCAGGTAGGAGAACCAGGCTGGATTCTCCTCTGGGCTCCCCACAGGGATGGCAAATCAGGCCTTTAACCCAGGACCAAGAATGCTACCAGAAAATAAGTGATTTAGGGACCCTACCGAGGAATAGCAAAAGGAAATGGATCAGACAGCAGGGGCTAAAAAAAAAACACTCATGACCAGTAATAACTTATTTTTATAGAAGATTTAGTAGGTGCCAGGCACTAGACTTATTGGCAAAACATACCCAATTTAAAGTTTCCCGGGAGGACATCTAGGTAAAATATGTGGTTCTGCATCTCAGAAGAAAGGACCAGAATAAAAATAGATAGGATGAAATAATGTGCTGATATTAAATGTGCCATTCACAAAGAATAAACACAGATAACAATACCTATCACATAAGGGATTGAAGAGGGTAGATTGTTTGAGACAGCGTCTTGCTACATGTCCAGGGTGGCCTCCAACCCCTGGGCTCAAGCAATCTTCCTACTGAAGAGGAATAATTCAGGTAGAGCTCATTAAGACTTGACACACACTCGGGCCGGGGATTTAGCTCAGTGGTTCCACTGCCTGCCTCGAAAAGCAAACGGTCCCAAGTTCGATCCCCACTACCAAAGAAAAAAGACTTGACACAAACAGACAAATATCTATTGAATGAATAATTGAAGGACATGAGGAGATACTTATAGTCTCACCCATGGTACAGGCTGTTGGCTTCCAAAAGACATTTGCTCAGTTACATACAGCTTTTATATTCCAAAAAAAAAAAAGGATTATAAAGATTATATAAATTGTGTTTATCACTTTTCCACTCATTCTCTAAGAGCAAGGACATGACACATGGGCCCTTAGATCAGGAGCTATGATCTCTTCCATAACAGTCTCTTACTTCTATAACAAATGAGCCCTTAAACATCCAGCTGTCTCTGTAAAACCTATGTAAATAAAAAAATTACATGTCAAATGAAAAAAATTAAAACTTAATGGGCCAGATAGATATGCCCCCCAAGGTACTAATCAATGGTGGGGTACGTTTGGTTCCTGGTGCTCATGGCTCCCCTGGCTATTACTACTCTTGGGACCCCTCAGTATTATCTGTTTAATTCTCTGTTTGGGACTGTGCCTAATTCGCTGTTTTCAAAATTTCTTGCAGGAACAATTGAGGGCATTCACCAATCAGACAGTCACGGAGTTCATCATGGCAGGGTACCAGCCAGTACGACAAAGGAAGAGGTCCCCACTTGCCACCGGCCTCATCAGATCCAGGTCTAGCCCCGATCTTCGCCCCTTGTCAGTAGGAAGCAGCTCCAGAAGAAGAGACCTTCGTCCAACTATCATGAAACAAAAGCCTGGAATGATAGGTCTCCCACCACCTCAGCAGCTATTATGTATAGTAGCTGCCCTCTTCCTATGGTGCCTTGCCCCCTCCCCTGTGTGACATCATGCCAAGATGGTTGCTCCCACCAAAGAATAAACCCTTCTTCCCAGTATGCCCCTGTTCCCGCCTAGAAAGTAACCTAATACTCACCTCCTACCACCTAGTGACATCACGGGCTCCTCCATTCCCTGGTCACTACCTCACTCAACCCCGCCTCAGCCCCTACAAACCCCACCCCTGTCTCTATAAAAGACTCTCCCTGCCCCGGCCATGTTGCTTTTGTCTCTCCTTTGTTCAGAGACAGCCCGGCAGATCTATTCCCCTAATAAAGGCTTGTTGTGGCCTGGTCTGGTCTTGGTCTTCGGCCCTTTTACCTGACACAGACAATATTAGTAGCTATCATGTATTGATTGCTTACCATGTAAGGCACTCTGCAAAGTGCTTTGCATGCTTTATTACTTTTGATCTTTTAAAAAACCCTATAGGTAGGTATTAGACCATCAATTTAAACATGAGGAAACATCCAGTTTCCTGGATAAGGCTAAAATAAAGGGTAATTTACTAAGGATTTTAATTGAGAGAGCTACAATTTGCATCTAGGACTGGTTTAATGTGTATCTCACCTGCTTTACATTTTGTTCCTTCATTTTTCCAAGAAGATCAGGAGTTCCCAAAGGGTGGTCTCTGCCCCACACGGGACATTCAGCCATGTCAGAAATTTTGGTTGTCAAAACTAGTGGATGCTTCTGGCCTCTTTAGGCAAAAGCCGAAGATGTTATTAAACAACCTAAAATGCACAGGACAACCTCACACACACCACAAAGATTTATCCAAGTCAAAGTGACAATAGTGCCTAAGTAAAGAAACCCTGCTATACAGTACTGATTTTTCATCTTTTTAATTCAAAAAACTATTCAAGGTCAGCCTGGACAACATAGCAAGAGTCCATCTAAAAAAAAAAAAAAAAAGGGAAAAAAAAATTAAAAACGCTAGCTAGGGGTGGTGATGCATGCCTATAATCCCAGCATTCGGGAGACTAAGGCAGGAGGATCACTGAAAGTTCGAGGCCAGCCTGCACTACATAGTGAGTTCAAGGCCAGCCTGAACTATATAGCGAGACCCTGTCTCAGAAAAACAAAACAAAAGAAACCAAACCAATACTCAAATGAGAATCTGATGAAGTCAGGGGATCCTCTTCTCAAAGAAAGGCACATAGACTTAGCTGAGGACCAGCATGTCCTTGGGGTAGAGAGCGGGACGTCTGGCTTCTGAGCTGGGACTTTCTCTGTGGTAACGACGAAAGAGCGCTGAGCCTCGGACGCGGAAGCCACAGCAGATTTCAAAATGGGTGATGTTGAGAAAGGCAAGAAGATTTTTGTACAGAAGTGTGCCCAGTGCCACACTGTGGAGAAGGGAGGCAAGCATAAGACTGGCCCAAATCTCCATGGTCTGTTTGGGTGGAAGACAGGTCAAGCTGTTGGATTCTCCTACACAGACGCCAACAAGAACAAAGGTATCACCTGGGGAGAGGATACATTGATGGAGTACTTGGAGAATCCCAAGAAGTAGATCCCTGGAACAAAAATGATCTTCACTGACATTAAGAAGGGAGAAAGGGCAGACTTAATAGCTTACCTCAAAAAAGCTACTAATGAGTAATAGTCACTCCCTTATTTATTACAGAACAGAAACGTCTCATGGCTTTTTTATGTGTACCATAATTTAATAGATCTCATACACCAGAATTCAGATCATGAGTGGCTGACAGAATATTTTTGTTGGACAGTCCGGATTTAAGTAAAATTGGCTTATAGTTAAATGGATATCTTTTTTTAAAAAGTTTTGATAGTAATTCCAGTTTAGTATATACTATCACTGTTTTCCCTTTCTAAAAATATGGTTGGACTTGATTAGTAATGTTTGAATTTTCACAGAGATGGAGAATGTTATCTCAAAACCTACTGCAGGTTGGTTTTATATTTAGAATTATACATATAACTGGTTGTGTAAATATGTTTAAATACCAGGGAAATCCTTCACTGTCTCACAACCAATCAAGACTCCTGTTTCAATTTGTTTATTAGCTTTTTAAAGACAGTGGTTGAAGACAAGGAAGGAACATCTATATTTTTTATCTTGACTATGCCAATTTAATTAGAAATCCCTGTATCTAGAGACTGCTACCTTTTACTTACTGAAAGGCATTTTAGTGTGGTGTATGTATAATACTAAATAAGAATAAAATGCACATATACTGTACACAGATTTTCCTTTTTTTTTTTTTTTTTTGGTGTACTACTGGGGACTGAACCCAAGGCCTTTCACTGAGCCACATTTCCAGCCCACTTTTTAATTTTTAATTTTGAGACAGGGTCTCACTAAGTTGCTAAGTCTCCCAAGCTGGGCTCAAGTGGGGATACTCCTGGTTTAACTTCCCAGAAATGCTGGAATTACAGTTGTGTACCATCACATCTAGCCTTTTTTTTTTTTTTTTTTTTACTGGGGATTGAACTCAGGACTTTGAGGTTGTGAGGCAGGCACCGTAACCACTGAGCTAAATCCCCAGCCCTAGCCTTTTTTTTAAAAACGGGGTCTTACTATGAAGCCCAGGGTGAGGTGGAATTTATGATCCTTTTGTCTTAGCCTCCTGAGTAGCTGGAATTACAAGTGTGTTCCACTGGACCCAGCTAGTTTTGCACACGTTATAGGAGATTCATGAAAAGGCCCATCCAAAACACATCTATGAACCCCAGTGTGTGGGTCGGATTTCTGTTACTGTAACAAAATATTAAGATAATCAGTTTATGAAGAAGAAAGTTTTCTTTTAGCACACGGTTTTGGAGGTTTCAATCCATAGTTTAGCAGACCCATTGCTTTTGAGCCTGTGGCAAGTCAACATATTATGGCAGGGAAAAGCTGTTCACCTTATGGCCTGAACTTGTTTTTTTTTTGAGACAAGATCTTGCTGTGTAGCTCTTGCTGGGTTTAAACTTGTGGTAATCCTCTTGCCTCAGCCTCCCAAGTGCTGGGAATATAGGCATGTGCCACCATGCCCTGCTTGGCCTAGACTTAAGAGAAGGTCAGGGTCAGGGATTTGGCTCAGTGGTTCCACCACCTGCTGAGCAAGGTCCTGAGTTCGATCCCCAGTACCAAAAAAAAAAAAAAAAGAAGAAGAGAAATAGGAGGGACTGGGGTCCCAATATCTTCCTCAAAGGCATGTCCCCTTAGACCCCTCCTCTTGATGGTTCCATCATATCCGAATAGCATAAAGCTAAAGACTAAGCCTTGTGTATTTGGGGCAGATATTTGTTTTGTGGTACTAGGAACTGAATCTGAAGCCTTCCACATGCTAGGCAACTGCTACACCACTGAGCAAGAGCCCCAGCCCAAGGACCTAGCATTTAATACATGGGTCTTGGGGGAATATTTAAATTCCAAATTGCATCACCCAGATTAAATCAACTAATCACACAAATGTGATATGTAAACTCTAGACTGTAGTTCCTTTGACAAAAACTGTACACTTTCATTTTTTGCCACTTGCCAAAAGATTTACTTTTACTGCACTTTGGTATGAAGCTGGCATCCTGCACTGAGAGTTTCATAAAGAAATAGACTAAAAATAAGAAAAAAGAAATACACTGAGGGGCTGGGGATTTAGCTCAGTGGCACCTTGCCTGCCTTGTAAGTGCAAGGTTGTGAGTTGATCCCCGGTAGCCACCCCCCCCAAAAAAAGAAAGAAACAGACTGAGGAACTCTGTCTTTACAGCATAGATTTGGCTGACAAATGTTCACACAGCATCCTCTCAATGAAGACTCATGAGAGGAATATATTTTATGCTCTGGCACTTGTATTTCTCATGGGCAACTGGTTTACTTTTTAAAAAAATAATGTATTGCATTTTCCCTCATTACAAGTAAGTCATATGCATTATAAAAAAGAAATTGAAGGTGGAGGTATAATTCAGGGGCAGAGTACAAACTTAGCAGGCACAAGGCCCTGGGTTCAATTCCCCAGCAATATTATAACAATAATAATAATAATAGTAATAATAATGATGATGATGTAGGTACAGGGGCCTGTAGGCAGGGACAAAATAGCATGAGGGCCTCATGAGGATTCCTGGCTAATCCTGATTAGGAGTTAAAACTTTACTAAAGAATTCATTTGGGCGCAATTAAAAGGATAAGGGTAGAGAGAAAAGAAAACCAGATATAGAAAGGTACCAGACAGCACAAATGACATAAGGACTTCCATAAAATACCAGAGGGAGAGCTGACAGGCAGAGCACAGAGGAAGCCAGGTACATTGGAAACTAAGATATCCTCCCCTCCCCACCTCCAATAAAATGCAAAGGAGACAAGGGGCCCCTACCTAACATAAAACTCTTATTTAATATGTAAGAATATATACTCAGGCAGGGCATGGTGGCACATGCCTGTAATCTCAGCTCTAGGGAGGCTAAGGCAGAAGGATAGCCCTGAGTTCAAGGCCAGCCTGAACTGCATAGCAAGACCCTGTCTCAAAAAAATTTTTTTTAATTAAAAAAATATTTTTTTTTTCTCACTCAAAGGTCACTACATTACTGCACTAGATATGCATCATCCCCTTACTTAAATCACTAACTTTAAACTGTCTGACTTTCTGTAAGGTGCCTCCTGACAAAGCTATAAATCCCAGACATAAGGCCCTGACAAGAACAAACAGGCAGGAAGAAGTCAAACAAAGCCCAACAAAAAGAATGTGCAAGTAGGCAGGGGTTCCTGGTTTAAGGTCCTGTAATCTGGGATCCCTCAAAGGACACCCCAGAGAGCCAGTCAGGTTGTAGCAAGTTCCAGGTACCCACATAGGAGGAAGGTTCCCTAGAAACTAATAAAAGGAGCTGGGAACAAACCAGGTGTGGTGGTGCATGCCTATAATCCTACCACTT